CAAAAAAAAAAAAAAAAAAAAAAAAAAAAAAACCGTAACGGAATCGCCGATTCACTGTTCAGAGTCGCCGATTCCGTACAGTGAATCGGCGATTCACTGTACAGAATCGTCCGGTTCTCTCTAGAACCGGACGATTTCCGATTTTCGGGGCGATCCGGTTCCTTTTTCACTATTTCCGAGTCGAACCGGGCGAGTCCCGGTCCGACTCGGTGTTTTTTAAAACGCTGCATGAAACATTAATGGGCACTTGAGGTAACTCTTTTCACGTATCCAAGATGCTCTGCTCACATATTCCTCGGTGCCCATGTTTTACACTTTTCCAGGTATTTTATTCGGCTAAGCCACATTCACAATTCATAATTGATACTACTAATATTTCAAAAAAAGGAAAAAAAATTTATATAAGGTGTCAATCTTATACTATAGAAGTCCAAAATCCTCCAAAAAAATATTGCTCCAATGTTGGAGAGCCTTCCAACCGCTGATCTCAACTTCGATACATATGCATGTGGGAAAAAAAAGGATTTCAAGTCCTAAACTAATACATTTTGTAACGAATTATCTAGACCATTTATTTTCAAGTGTTTGGAAATCTGTTTTATTTACACCATGTATGGAGTTGTAATTTTCATAATTAAATGTGGTTTTCAGGCTACTCTAAGAATTTTTGGCACCAATACTACATGTTCCGACCAAGTTTGGAGGTGCGCCATATTTTGATTGTTTAACATTGACACTGCATAAAAACCGCTTTAAAAAATTGTGGGTTCAACTCTTAGCCACTTGAGCCATGAATTGAAAATAGAATCCATCTAATTCCAGTCTTTCATTAAATAGAGACTCAAATTTAGCGGTATATAAACAAAAATAAAGTTTTTTATTATAATAAAACTAACTTTCTTTAAAATTAGAGATTATTTAAACATATTAAGCTCTTGAAAAATTTTTATATAAAGTTCAATTTTATTTGTAGTAATAAAACTGCAGTAATCTATACCATTTATTTCATTTGAATGATTTATATTAGACATTATCCTAAAAAACGTGTTAGCACTTTTTTAAAAAAATCTACACCTCCAAGTAAAATTGATGGTGTATATATTATCACAACCTTATTTCTATAAACAAAGTTGCAACCTTGTGCAAATCATACCGTTGTTTTAATAATAGTAATTTAAAGGGATATCTTTGTAAATTACTCGTTTTTTTGGTACAAGCTGAGAAAAATAATAGTAGAAAACACGTTTAATGGTCCATACAAACTTCCCCTTAAACTATTCTACTTGCGCTTTCTCCCTCGATGGTTTTCCATGTCGCTCGGTGAATGCCCCACATTTTTCTCTCTCTAAGGCCCAGGTTGTTTACCTTCTCTCTCTCTCTCTCTCTCTCTCTCTCACACTCATATCTGCAACTTATTTGGCGTCATGGGAAGTGAAAACCTGGCCCCCCACCTTCCAGCTCTTTTCATGGGCTCCGCCACCTCTTTTGCTCCTTTGACTCCACTTTTCTTGGTCGCTTTGAACCTTTCAAACTCTCTCAATAAATGGTGGTTAGCGAGTGTTTGCCTCATTTCCTTGTCTCTCCATTCATATCGCTTTAGGGATCTTAAGAAAAGCTTGCAACTCCATAATTGCAAACTTTTTTAGCTGAAAAAGGAGCTCAATTTGAGTTGAATTTAATGGAAGGGCCATCAAAGAAAGATCCTCCTCCTTCTGGTTTAGCATTGGGGTTTGAGGATTTTCATGGAAGGCGTTGGAAAGAGGCTGTGATCAGTCGGCTTAACCAGGAAATCAAGTTTATGGAGGTATAGTGTCTATCCATTGGTCTTTTGAATTTTGGAGAGTTTCATGGAAAATTGGGGTTTGGGTTTTAATATTTTGTTATCATTCCATGATGGATTTTCTTTTTCTTTCTGAAAGATAATTTCACATTGGATTAATGGTTTAATTTGGAAAAAAATATAATGAAAATTCAGTCGAATTAAGCATATTTCCTTTTGGGTTTGTCCAAACTGTTCGAGAAATTTCATTTTGTCCAGAAAGAGTATTTACTCCAAATTTGGTGTGAATGTTATGAAATTTTAGGAAAGATAGAAGAAAAGTAGGATAAAGAAATGCAGAATTTGCTTGATATTATGACTGAAATTTGATTTGAGGTCTAGACAATTATGCTGTGATTTTTTCCCTAAGTTTTTTTTTGGGATTCCTTGTACCTGTCCAGTTTCACCAACTATGCCATTAATTTATATGGAATTGTGAAATTTAGACTTTTAATTTCCCCTTCTTAGTCCACATTCTTAAAACGGGTTCCATAATATTTTTCCCCCCTCTGCAAGCTAAGTTTTTGTCCCTTGGTGTGGAGTATGGATATTGAACTTGTCAAATCACTTCTATTGTAGAGGGTGCTGATCAATTTTATGGAAATGAGACTGTGAATTAAACGCTATTCCAAAACTTGGCCTCGGCGCCCTGCTGAGGTGAGTTGTGGGGACAATATGGGGTTTTTTTAAAAGGTCTAAAAAAATTAATTTTTTCACTAGATCACTAATAATGATGCATAAATATGTTTCCGTATGTTTTCAATGCTTTTCTCATGATGATGTGTGAAATTTTCTTATTACATCTGTTTTATTGTTTTTTCCTTCTTCTGGATTTTTCCAATTTCTTTCAAGCTATAAATTATTTTTTTCCTTATTCCATCTTATAGATTTTTTTCTATTTTTGTTTTGTAGACTTTCAATGCATTTATAACTTCTTTAGCTTTTTTCTGATTTTTTTTTTTTTTTTTCTATCAATTGTTTTGGCAATGCCCTTTTTGGTTTGTAAATTACTTGGGTTAGTCCACCCTGACTCGCCTCTGTAACTTGGCTAAGGCAAGGGCCGAGTCCCAAGCCCACAAGTTTTTGCATTGTGGAATTAATTCATTAAACCAGTTAATCCTGATGAAATTTTAGAGAGATAATTAAGGGAATTCATTTTCAACATATATATGCATTTGTTCGATTGTTTGTGAACAAGCCTAGGAGTTAATTATTGACAAAAGCGGATAGTGATTTTCTACTGATGCAAATGAACTTCAAGCCATTAGTTGGAATAGGATTGGAGGTGATTTCACAGAATTCTGTTTAATTTAAGACCTCCAATTGTGGCCTATGGTCATGGATGTATCTTCTCTAGAATAGGATAGTCAGGACTTTTGGAGTCGAATTATATCTCGCAAAAATAAACATGATTTCTGCATAACTTCACAAATTATACAGAATTCTATGGTTGGAATCAAGGTATTGGCTACTATATTTTGAGAAGTAAGCGAGAGATTTGCAATTGCTTATATCTATCTTCTTTGCTTTATATATTTCATTTATTAAAATCATTGGTTTCATATTTTAAATTCTTGTGTCCTGAAAAATGAAGTCTATGTAACATGTGCAGGAAGAGCTAAAAGAACTCGATGGTCTAGCCCCAGCCTCCACAACTTGTAAGGAGTAAGTCTTTGTTACTGCTAGTGCCACATTATATGGGGGAGAGACTGATTACTCGGTTCAATAATTTTCCAATGGCTTGCTTTTTTTTAGGGTCATACAGAAAGTTGAAACTGCCCCAGATCCTCTCCTTCCTATGTAAGAAACTGCTTGTTCTCCAAAACCTTAAATTTTGCTATTCTTCCATGTCCCTCGTCTTTGTTATGTATTTCCTGATTACTATTCTTATTTGGCTTTGTTAAAAGTGCCGGAGCTGCTGTGAACCCTGCTTGGGACCGATGGTTTGAAGGAAGTCATGGCTCCCGTACCAATCGATGGTGGCTCCACAAACGAAACTAAACCACTGCAATCTTGCCTACTTGTAATATGAAGTTAAGTTTTGGAGTTTATTTCCTAGATTGATAATCAATCTTGCCTACTTGTAATATGAAGTTAAGTTTTGGAGTTTATTTCCTAGATTTTTATCTCCCATTTCATGCTTTCGACTTTGTAATTGCAATGACCAATGCCCATCGAGCTCTTCCAGTGAATTGTAGGATAAACTATTTCTCAAAACAACGCATAAGTTATTTGGAATTTTAATGGTAAACAAAATTTATCAAAAAAAATTATATAAAAGAGCCCCACAGAGTTCTGACTCCAAAGCTTCCTAATAGTTCCTGTTTTTATTTCAGAATATAACTCCTGAAACTCTGATCTTCCAGTAAAATGAATCTGCGATGCCTGCACCAAAGAAATGACTGAGCCTTTTCTTTCTTTGTCGAGAAGGCGTCAATTTTTACTGCAAGAATTTAAAATGAACAAAAGTTGTTAAAGGACATCCATGTGCTGGCTTGTGAAGACTCAAAAAAGGATGTGGATAATGAATCACAGGAGAGGGCGAATATTGGATCAGTAGTCTGAAATTATTACAAGAGCCAATAGGAACCTTATGGTGGGGTTAGGAGCTTCTTATTGAAGGAGGGTTGAAGAGGGTAAATGATGATAGAAATTGTTGGGGGACCATTCTGAAGGGTGTTGATAAAGTGAGAGAAAATGTTAGTTGTCATCAATGAAAATGAGGGATCAGAAAAAGGAAAGGGGGGATCAGAAACCCAAGCATTTATCTATAGAATGACTAAAAGGCCCTGACAGGGAAGCATGGCAATAATTGAAACACGTCTGTTTGATACATAAGAATATATAAAAAGAAGCCCACATCCTGCATATAAATCAAGATCCCCCACCATTCCCCAAAAACAAAAACAAAAAAAGGAAGAAGAAAAGGGCTGGATCTTCAACCTCTGTGAGAGGTGGGTAGTTCACCAGCAATTGTGTGAACCTCTCATTGAGGACACGAACAAATTTCATATTGCAATTTGCCTATTTGATCTTTGTGATAATGTATGGGAAAAGGCTATTAGCCATCTGCCCATCTCTCTAGTTAAGCCTTCCTTCCCCATTCTCTCTTTCTCTCACTCTAAAGAAAACTTATGGCTCAACATGACCGTTCTAGCTCAATATGAATGATTGAGCAATATTGATAAGTAGCTTAAAAAAAAAGGAGAATGACATTTATCAAAAAAAAAGGGTGGTCAAAGAAATGAAAAGAAATAAAACCATTATAGAAAGTAAATAATGTTATTAAATATATTTAAATAAAAGAAGAGAAGGATCATGAAGTAAATAGTAGTCATGAGGCTTTTGTGGACATATTCTAATAGATAATGCCATCAATAAAAAATATGCAACTCGATAATTTCATCATCGCCATCTTCTAAGCTTTATTCCAACTATTAAGAGTCGGTTATATGAATCTTATTTCGTCATTCCACTCTATCAAGGGCTAAGGCAGGGGCTTGGGCTGGGTCAGTCTTAACCTTAGCCCGGCCATGTTTCACTGGCCGGCCCAGGCTCTACCAAATTCATGCTTGGTCGGGCTGAGTAATATATATATATATATATATAGTAAGTGCTGGCTTGCCTTGTCTTGGCCTCGGCCCATACGCTTGGCCCTGGCCCAACCCACGGGCCACATTTTGTGGCTCATGTGCTACTCTTTTAGAGCCGACCAAGCCAACCGCCCATTGCCACTCCATATTAAGTGTCGTGCCCTCAGTAAGACTATAGGTGACTATAACTATTTTCCTTACTTCCATCCATGTCTTTTGAAGCATTCTCTTTATCTTTTTAGAGCTTTCCACTTGAACCAAATCGCCCCTTCTAACTGGTGTTGTTTTAGGTCGATGAATCACATGTCTAGACCATTCAAGTCTATTTTCTATCATCTTATGTCTATTGGAGCTACTCCTAAGTTCATTTTAATTTTATTGGTATGCAACTCCATCATTTAAGGTTAAAAAAAAGAAAAAAAAAAAAAAAATAACAATGCAAACAAATCCAGCCTATCTAAAGCTCTTGCCACCTCGCCTTGAGGAGGCGGTGTGGGGCCTGTGCAACTCATCAAGGGAAAGGCAGCGCCTAGCATCTGAACCCGCCATGGCAACGCGAAGGCTATTAAATTTACGAGTTAAAGTTATTTTGGTTTGTGCCTCTCTGTTTTTATATGGGAATCAGAAGTTTTGAAGGCCCCCTCGCTCCATGCTCTTTTAACATTCATTTCCTTTCCTGTAAAAAACGCATGTTATATACCAAGAGAGAGCAAGTTGTTGCATCCACCAAAATCCAGAGAGAGAGCAAGTTGTTGTATCCTCCAAATTCCAGAGAGAGAGAGCGAGCAATTTTTGCATCCTCAGAGAGAGCAACCTGTTGCATCCTCCAAAATCAAATTGGACTGCTGCAACACTAGAGGTGGATTCGTGTGACCAATATTAAACAGTGCAGTTCCCATCTTTTTTTTTTGTCTTTTGGTAGCATAGTGATAGGAATCGAACTTGAGATGTAACGTTGCTTGATGTTACCTGCTAACTACTCAAGCCCAAACTCGAATCCTTGATGTTAACGGCTAACTACTCAAGCCCAAGCTCGATTCCTATATCTCCCTTCAATAAGGAGACTCAATAGAACGAGCAAAGTGCCTCTTCACCACTGTATAAATTCCAGATGATTGCTTCGTTGCTGTACTGATAAAAATATAAAATTGAAAAGATGCCTTTCCATTATATTGATGGACATTATGAACAATGGAAACATGATAAAAACACCCGTACATCACTTCATCATTTGTTTGCAGTGCACTATTTTAATCTCGACTTTCTTTTATTTAAATTTCCTTGTGTTCGTGCCTTTCACTTTAAATATAGTATTTCTCTCTCCTAATATGTATTTTCTTTTTTCTTTCTTTCACAGAGAGGGGAAGCTTTCAATATGCCATTTCATTTGGACAGGTTGTTCAGATCGAAGAAGACCAAGTTTGAAGAGGATTCTTTAATAAACTAAACTTCTTCATTGTATTCCGAACCCTGCTAAAAATACTGGGCTTAGGGTGGGAAACCAATGACTCTGCTGATATTTCTAGGCTGAGTTCAATCCTTTTGTTCATGGACAATTTTAATGGTAACTAGCTTCCATTTTAAACATAATCTGTCAAGGTTCCATTTTCCATGAAACTGCAGATGTAGTCCAGAGACTGCAACCGCACGGTAATAATGTATCAGAATTCTCAATGGATGGTGGATCAAGATCTTGAAATAGGCGACGTAGATAAAATTTTGGGAGAGCAGCAGTTGGAGCATTTTTTTTTTCTTTAAATCCCCTTTTTTTTTTTCCTTCTTCCGAACCATGATATTAGAGGTTTTTCTTTCTTGGAAAACAGTTTATATAAGGTTGCAATCATATATTATAGAAGTAACGTGTACTTCAAAATCGAAAGAGTGTTCCGAAGTTAGAAATCCTTGCAATTGATCATTTGTCAATATGTATGGTTGTATAAATAAAAAAAAATAGTCTTAATGATATGGCATCTTATAACAAGATCTTTGAAGTGTCATTTATCAAAATTTTCCAGTGCTAGAGATTTGCTTGATCCGCATTATTTTTAAATTTCATAATTGTACTTGAACATTGATTAGAAGTCATCAATAGGTTTATGTTACCGGAACTACATCACCCGGCAAAATTTAAGGGCGTCTTTGTTGATAGTTATAGTAGCAAAATATTGAGTTTCTTATATTTGGTTGAAGTAGTCAAATATTGATTTTTTTAATTTCTTTTATTTTTTGGGATTATAATTGTAATGGGGTTTGTTTCTTCAAATGCAAAAGTTGTAACTTCATAAATCTTTGTTAAATCAGAGTAATCCCTATTAATAAGATGCTGATTTACTTTCAATAGACGTAGACAGCATTACCGAATCACGTGTATATCTTGTATAGTATAAGGTTGGGGGTGGAGGGGGGTGGGGGTGTTTGGTCGTGTGCGATATTTGAGAGATATGAAAAGTGAAAATGATAAATTAAAGATATCTTGTGGCCACTTAGTTAAAGAAAAGAATGAGTGCTTTCGTAGGAATCATCTTTGGCCTTAAGTGCATTTCTTTTAAGACAAACTATTGAAAGATATTTATGCTTAAAATGGGATTTGGCCCATAGGGTTAAGGGTAAGGAAAAAATGCCCTTATTGCTAATGTCCAAGATCTAGAATCTCAGCTTACCTACCAAATATGATAACACGTCTCATAATTTGGCTTTACTATTTAGAGTTTTTGTCTAAAACTCTCAACCATTTTATATATGCTTAGAAGCAATATTTAGTGTTATTTAACTTGTAAGCCTTGTTTTGCCTTATGCTTTAAGGGTTCATAACCGGTACTCATGGTGAGAGCCTGGTTTATTGTAAAAGTCCCCAAAACCGCAAGAAATAAAGCTTTTCAACAGTGCTTACTTCAAAGAAACATCAGCATCTAGAGCACCCTTATGTAGAAAGTGTCCTTGCCGTAAATGTACTATATAGTTCATCTACCTCATTCTCTATCCGGTAGGTCAATTTTGATCAGGAGAGCCACTCACCATTTGATCTTTGATTCGACATCTCAAAGTATATTTTCTTTAGTTTTATTTATACAAATTCTATTAATATGAAATTTGGTACGTTTCATCCTCTCATTGGGACACGGCTATAAAAAATATTAAAAATAGTTTTTTGATAAAATATAATGACCAAAATAACCATTGCAATTTTTAAGGGTATTTTGGTTATTTTATTTTATTGGAAATATTTTTTTTATATTTTTTGTTAGTGCGAGTTTAATAGAGGATTGGACATACAAAAATTGGTGTTAAGATAGTTTATAAAAAAATAATTAAAAATAAAATACTGTAGAGACATGACATTGTGATTGGGGCAATCTTAGCCCTCCATTCAAAATGGACAGTTGGATAAGGGGAAGCATATAAGTTTTATATTGTAGGGGAATCATAGAAAGCTTGCCCTTAAGTGAAAGTGGTACTTTTTTTATTTATTTATTCGTTTTTGTTGCTTTTTAGCATGTTATGGAGATGCAGTGTCATTGAAAGACCCAAGTTTGAGATTGATATTTCTGACACATATATCTATTTCTGATGCTCAAACGTATCCATGTTTAGGCAACTTA